TGGGTGCCCAGCTGGCATCTGCCGAGGGTCAAACACCACCCATTCAGGGGCCTTCAGACCCCATCACCAGCCTGGATGATCTCAGAGTCCTCCACCCCACTAAGTTAAGTGGCACCTAACTTAGACTCTCTGGAGAAACTTCTTGGGCTAGGGTTACCAGCCATTGCTATTTTGGGGGGCTAAACAATATAAGAACTTAGGAGTCACTTTTATAATAAAAATAACGTTACGCTGTGCTTTCTATGTGCCGGCACTACTGAAAGCACTTTAGATACACTAACTCATTTCATCTCTTAACTGCTCTATGAGGTAGGCACTAGTCTCCCTGTTGGACTGATAAGAAACAAGGAGCACAGAGACATTAAGTAACTTGCCCAAGGTCACACAGCTGGTAAGCTGCACAGCCAGGCTTTAAACTCAGGCAGCTGGCTCCAGAGCCCAAGTGCTTGACCACTATGCATACCATCTCCGAAAATACCCAGTGTTGTTGGAACCCAGTCATCCCTAAATAAGTGCTGTTGTTGTTTCACTTTTCTTAGCATTAGTCTTCTCCTGCCACCAGGACAGTCCCCCAGGGCAGGGCCCAGCCTTCCCCACTGCGTCTATGCACCTGGTTATAGGTCAGCCAGAGAGATGGACGAAAGGGCCCATTTGGAGAGGCCCAGCCTCTGTGAGTCAACTCGTGCAGCAGAATTCAGCAGTGGGAAATCCCGAGGCCTGGGCCACTGAAGCCAGACCCAGGATGTCAGATTGTGGGACCGGAAGAGGCCTCTGCTCTTCACGTTCGAAAGACCAGGGGACCCTGAATGTCTTGCCTTTGGAGAAGGCAAGAAACCTGGTCTCAAAGCCCCCATGCAGCCGACAGTGACAGCCCACTGTGTAACACTGGTGGTGGTAATGACAGAGGAGGAAAACAGGCCCGGGCCGTGAGACCTCCGCTCGAGCCAGTGAAAGGGACCTGGAGAAGGAGCCGGGTGCCCTGGGGCCCAGCCTGGGATCTGCCACCAGCTTGCTGTGTGCCCCGGAGGAAGCCATCTCACCTCTGTATGCCTCAGCTTCCCTGCCAAACCTGAAGGCACCTCTGCCCTGAGCCCCAGCCCCAAGTTGAGTTGTTAAGTGTTACTAAGGGAACAGGGAGGAAGTACTTGCAGCCTCCCCCAGGCCATGAATACAGAACTCTCAGGTAGACCCTGTCACTCACAGGAACAAGAACAGCTACCTGCTGTTCAAAGGCCTCCTGGCTTCCCCTGGTCAGCCCTGGGAAGAAACCACCTCTGGCCCCCAAGACCCAGGAGAAGTTAGAGCCCCCTGGGGAGAGAAACGCAGGCTCCTGCGGAAGGAAGAAGCAGGGGTGCGCTGTTCTAGGTGGGCCCCGGGGGGAAGGCCCCCCAGCCTGTATGCTGCCAGCCCAGGACCAAGGCTTCTTCAGTGTCGTCCCCTCTGAGGCACAGAGCAGGTGCTTAACAGGTGCAGCGTTTAGCACAGTAGGTGTCTGTTGAGTAAATGAATGAATGAACCCTCTCAAGACCGGGAGGCAGGGACAGCCCCTGGGTTGAAGAAGGGGCCTTGAGGACCACACAGCAGCAGCTGCTAAACACACACGACATCATGCTCGTTCGCTGGGCTCCCATCGGCACGGTGCTCCCGTGCCCTGACGCAGGATGCCAGAGCGAGACAAGGACACGGAAGGGCTGCTGTGCTGAGGCCCAGGTACCCACCTGACTCTTCCAGCTGCCAATTCTCCTTCCCCTCCCTGTCCACCCTGCAGCTGGCCACGCCACACCCATGGCGAGCCCACCCCTCCCTGCTGCCCTGTGTCCGTGGGTTGAAACCGAAGGCTTCCAGAAAGAAACAAAACTACCCAGCTGAGGAATCAGGCCCTTTAATTTTCTCTACGCCACAGAGTCGGGCCGGGCTCTGGGTGAAGACGGTGCCTTGTCTCAAGCAGAATAAAGCGTGTGTGCGTTATGGCACTGAAGGACGTCGTCTGTGCTTATTCTGGTGCTAGGAATCGAGGTTGCTAGGGAGAAGTGACCGCCTGATTCATGAGGCATTACTTTGCTATTAGTGGTGGTGGTAATTATATGCGCTTCTTGCTCCTGGATGCAGAGCGATATTTGAGCCACCACAGAGACTGGCCCGGGATCCCCCTCTGCCCGGCCCAACACTCCAGCTGGTCTCCTTCCCTGCCAGCACCCTGCAGGGCCCACCCCCACCCCACCACGTGCCCTGGGCCCACCCCAGCCCCACCCCCAAGGGCACCATTCCACCAAAGACCCTTCTTTTTTTCACAGCATCTCCAACACCACTGTCCTGCCTTAGAGTTTAAACAGCTCAACTCTCTCCCATCTTTAAAAATATACATATATCACTGCTTGTTCTCTCTCCTTCATGCTAAAATTCTGAAAGGAGTTGTCCACGTTCACCATTCCCACCCCCAGCTCCCATCCACTTGCTCCCTAACCTTCCCTGCCCTGCCCACCTTTATATGTCGGTGGTCCCAGGGTCTGTCACTGCCCTCCTCCCACTGTGGTCGTGCCCTTGGCTCCGGTGACCATCGACAGGCTGATGTACACTCCTCGATCTCTCTCTCCTGGCCACTTCCTCTCCTGAGCCCCAGATCGGCAGGATGTGGCAGACGAGAGGCACACGCCCCAAAACAGGCCCACTCCCCTGCCCTCCCCATCAAAGCCTGGGCTGCTGCTCCTGACACACCTGTCACCCACGCAGGTACCCAAGACAGGAAGCTGGGTGCCCTCCGTGACTCCTATGCCCCCACCCTCTCACCTTCACTCCGTCAGCACGACCTGTGGATTCTACCTGCTAAATAGCTCTCACAGCATCTTCTCCTTTCCTGCCACTGCCCAGGCTCTGCCACCGCTGTCCCTGGCCTGTGTCACAGCAGTGGCTTCTCAACAGTCCCCCAATCAACTCTCTTCACTGGAACCACAGAAACACCTCGCTGAAGCCTAGGTCTGATCATCTCCCTTTGAACCCTCGGGCTCCCTCCCTGCCCGCTGCCTCTCTGTCCCTTCCGCCCCACCTGCTACCATGCTGAGCACCTGCCACTCTGCAAGCTGAGCTCCCTGCCCTGCTTGGGACTCCCCCTACTCCACCCTTCCTTCTCCCTCCCGAGGGGCCTGCCCTCCACGCGGCTTCTGGACCCAGTGGCTGGCCTAGGCACCTTCCACAGGGCTGGAGGCTGTGTGTGGGCTGCAGGTCCCACATCCCTTGGCAAACCTGCCTCCAAGTCCCAAGGCAGAACCTGGAAGCCCCCACCCCCACCAACACACCCATCCTCTCCCCGTCCAGACTGGGGTGTGGAGGGTTTGCACATACTTCAGGAAGCTTGGCTACCTCAGCCAGACGTTCGTTTATTAGTTCCACAAAAGTTTATTGAGAATGTACTGTGTGCTAGGTGTGGGGACAGCACAGCCAGTGCAGCCTTCATGGAGCTCATGGTTGGGGGTGGTGTGCAGATGAGTGAGGGGCTTCTGTCATTTACGGCGTGACTGCTATGATGGGGAAAGCACAGCTGTGATGTGGCACCAGCTTGGAGGGTCATCTAAGCCCTTGTTACCAAATCTAAAGAGCCCTCCTGGAAGAGGCAGGCTCCAAGCTGAGACGGAAGTGTGAGTGGCTTACATAGGTGAGGAGACACAGGAAGAGTGTGGGTAGTGGAAGGAACAGCACCAACCCCAGCCCTGTGGAAGGTGCCTAGGCCAGCTATGGGGTCCCCAAGCCACATCTGGGAGCAGGGACAGCCCCAGGCAGGGCAGAGAGCTGGGATGCACACACAGGCCTGCCCCATGTCCCACCTGGCTCCCACTTCTCCATCTGCCTGGTGACTCTTGCTTCACTCCTGGGCCTACTTCACACTGTGCCTGCTTGAGTCACATGGTCCTGCTCCTGTCCCACCCCAGCTCACCGCCCCCTCCTCCAGCCATGTCCTGCTCCCATCACTTTCCTCCCCCTCCTCCAGCTGTCACCTCCGCTGGTCTTTGTCTCTCCTGGCCTTCTCCTGGGTGGGGCAGCCACTTCCTCTGGGTTCTAGGCTCCCCTGGCAGGTAGCCATAGCCAGCTGGGGCCAGTTCACCCCATCACTGAGCCCTCCCTCCTGAACCCCTGGCCCGCCACGCACCCCCACCACCGCCCCGTCCTGCCCCGGGCTTACCCTCAGTCAGCCCCAGGTGGATGCTCCAGTAGATCTGCAAGCACTGCAGCTCCTTCTTCATGCCCCGCTTGCAGCGGCAGTCGTACAGCGGGCTCTCCTGCAGGACCTCCAGGGCCGCCTGGCACTCCTTGTTGGCCAGCATGGTGTTGCGGTCCCGGCCTGCCAGGCACTGCCGCAGCGTGCGGTAGCGTGAGCTGCAGTTGGATTCGGCCGCGCACAGCTCATTGGCCCGGACACAGTCCACTGGGGGGCGCCAGCCGTGGAGCTCGGGGCCCTGCAGGGAGGAAGGGCTGGCCAAAGAGCGGAGGGTCTCGTCTGGGTGGTGGGGAGGGAAGACAAGCGTGAAAGAGGGCCGCCACAGTCTCCCACCCAAGACGCAGGCCTGGGGGCTTGGGCCCTTCAGGGAGCTTCACACCCACTTCACACCAAAGCACACCATGAAAGACTCCATGCAACAGCCCTCCTCGCACCCAGGGGAGAAGGCAGGCTGTCACTCGCCCCTGGCTCTGCCAGTGTCTTTTCCAATTTCCCGTCCGTTTGCTCCTCAGCACTGGCCCTGGGCCTAGGAGCACAGCACAAGGCCAAGAAGGCCCCAGCCAAAAACCACAGACAGTCTGGGACGCCAGGAGTCCAGGGAAGAATGTCACAGCCTCAGCAGAGAGCTAGGGGATGCAGGGATTGCTGGGGTGTGCACAGGGGGGAATCGCATGTTAATACCGCCCAAGCCACCCACGAACCCCAGCTCCAGCCAAGGCACTGCTGAAGCCTTGACAGCAGTACAAAGTCACGAGACTTTCGAAGCCTGTTAGGACCTCACAGAGACCAACCATACAGTCCAGCCCCCACAGTTTACCCTAGGGAAACTGAGGCCCAAAGAAGGGAGAGGACAACTCAGGTCACACACACAGGCGGGAATGCCCCCTCCTACCCCTGGTCTACTCATTCTGAGCTGCTGGACTTTTAAGAGAAGACAGGGAGAGACGAGCCCGGGGAGGGAGGAGCTGCCCCTTTCTGGCCTCAGCACCCCTACACCTTCCAGGTCAACTTCATGCCGGATGGAGACCTGAAAACTTGCCTTCCATGGGACAAGTTCCGCCCAGTCCCTTCCAGAAGAAAATGCTTTGGGCAAGCCTGGCAAGCACCTCCACGTCCTCCCTCTGCACTGTCTTGCCTCCATCTCTCACGTTTCTCTTGCTGATTCCTCCTAAGAGGTCTGTCTCTCCATCACCTTCACTTTGGCTCTTTGAATGGCCTTGTTTTCTCTCTCTCTCTCTCTCTCTCTCTCTCTCTCTCTCTCTGTCTTTTTTACCTCTCCTCCCCTGAAAGCCTCTCCCCCTCTGTCTCTCTTTTGTTTTTCTTCCTTCCAAAAGCCAAATAATAGATCAATTGCAAAAGAGAAAGAGCCCCCTCCTCGGACCCTGGCCCCACAGATGGAGCTGGCTTCTCTACCAACAGCAACAGCCCCCAGCCCACATCCCATCCGCCACCCTGGGCGCCACAGAAGGGAGAGGTGGGGGAGAAACTGGGGGTGCAGGGCAGGGCTCTGATCCTTTCAGAGCCGAGCTCCCAAAATGGTTTCCTCCAGACACAGACGACATGTCCCCAGCCTCCCTCCATGTCCTCTCCTGAGCCCCTAACTCCAGATCCTGCCCCAGGGAGAGCCCACACCATGGCCCAGAGCCACGACTGCCATTTCCAAGACCCAAAGAGTGGTTTGGGAGGCGTCCTCCACTCCATCTCTCCCCAAAACATAAGAAATTCCAGGCCAGAAGTCCCCTCCTCTGAATACCGCAGCATCCCCCCACCCCAAGCCAGAGCGGCCTCCCGCCCTCCCCTAGGACGCCCTGCTCAGGGGGGCGCTAGCGCAGGGAGACAGCGACATCTAGAGGCGGAGCGCTGCGCAGCGGGCCGTCCCTCCCTCCAGCCCCAGGAAAAAGAATCCACTCCTGGTAGAACCAGGCAGGGGGCCCACCCCCAGGAGACCAGGGAAGAGGAGCAGGGCAGGCCTCGGGTGGAGCAGGCCTAGGGGGCCAGAGCAAAAGACATGTCCTTCTCCTACTGACCACACCTGTGCCCCAGAACAGGAAGGCTGGAGGATTTGGCCAGACTAAGACCAGAGAAGAAATCAGCACGGAGCAGGAGCCCCCGCACGGGCTGGAGAGGTGTTCTCCACACAAGCTGAGGCAGCATCTTCCTTTCTCGGCTTCAGCAGATTCCTACCTCCCTGAGCAGGGCCGGGTGCATCTGGGCCCCCCAAGAGCAGCTGAGCCAACGTGGCCCGGCCTGCACCTGCTGCCCCCAGCCGGCTGGCCAGCCTGCTGGAGCCTCCACTGACATCCCCCTGCCACCATAACTGAGCGGGGGCTGCACTGTCAGAGGGGGACTGGGAATGGGACCTCCTAGCACCCCGGCGTTACGCAGGCTCAGGATTCACAGCGTGCATAAAGGTCAGGATGTTAGTTGGGGGGACGGGGGGATTCAGGCAGTAAGGACACTCACTCTGCCTGCCCTACAGGTGGGGCCTAGAGCCCCAAGGGATGGATGATCCTTACACAAGCCCCCTGCCAGAAGTGAGGGCTTCCCCCATCCTGCCAATGGGTACACGTGACCAAAGCAGGGACATGTTCTGCAAAAGGCCGGGGCATCCTTTCCCCAAAGTGCCCTTGACTCTTCCAGCCTGCCTCGTGACCCCAGAACCAAGCGAGCCCTGCCAGAGGAAGGAATTATGGTGACCTGGAGCCTTTAGCCAAAGATCCTGAGGGTAAAGGGCCGAAGGCATCCTGGTGATGTCTCCCAATCCCGAATCAGGAGAAAACGTGGACCTATCAAGAACAGACACAGGGAGCAGCTTATAGAGACACCGGGGGGAGTGGGAATAAGAGACGACACAGAGCTGGAGCTGCCCTCCTGCGTCCAGCGTCCCCGCCAGAGCCAGAAAGCCAGTTGGGAGTGGACCCCTGACCAGCCCACCATCCCCTCCCAGTCACATACCCCAGCTCCTTCTATCCTTGGGTCAGCCAACACTGAAGGTCAGGATGGCTGGGCAAGAAAGGCCTCTCTCTGCACCCACAGTCCTCACCCCCAGACCTCGCTCAGAACCTTGGGAGGGGACCACCAAGGCCCTTGTCCCCAGTTGAATTGCCTCCCCTTCAGCAGAATTTCCACCCAGCTCCTGGCCAGGAAAAGGGCCCTGGGGCTGAAGTTTCCTCAACACCAACCTATCCCTTCCTTTAGACTGGCCTAACCCAGAGCTGCTCAGCCCAGCTCTGTAAAGGGACTTCTCAAGGGAAGGGGAACTGAAAGGCCGGGACCCAAGGGGATGCTGAGCCCACTCCTCTCAACACTCAGCCTGCAGGGTCGCAGACACAGGGGTGGGGGGATCTCTGACCATCCCCCCATGCATACGATGTCACACACACATAACACACCCACCATGAGCAGGACCCCCAAGGCCACTTCTGGGCAGAAGAGTGACTTCTCAGCCTCCTGGGTGGGGAAGCTGGCCTGCTCCACAGGGGTCTGGGCCTGGAGCGGGTAAGGGGCCCAGGCTGCTCTCCCCCAGTCCGCAGAAGGCGCCCACACCTGGGAGCCCTGCCGGCCGGGGGTGTGCAGCTCCGCATCGGGCAATCTGGCTGCTCTGCCTGAAATACAATTTTCTTCTCTTCTTGGCGCTGATCATTCGCAGCCCCAGAAAGCTGGGTTTTCAAACCAGCAGTGGGAGAAAAGGTCAGGTTTTATAATAGCCCCTTCAGATTGAGAGTCCACTTGCTGGGGTTGCCAGGAAGGGCTGCGAATCACCGTCGGCCCAGAGCACCTTCCAGCTGCCGGCTCAGCCCCTCCCACCCCAGAGGGAAGAAGCTGCCAGGGGCAGAGGGAGGCAGGGCGGGTGGAGGCCACACCCCAGGGCAGGGCCTTGCCCCCTGGGGAACTCAGGCCTCGGGCGAAGAGGAAACGGAGGGTGGAAGCCCTGGGCCCAGGGCCTGACCAGGACAGACACCCGAGACTCCGAATTTCCTCCCCAGGCTGGAGGGCGCTTCCTAGACCACACACATCTCTGTGACCAGCTCCTACCTCGCACTCTCGGCCTTCCCAGAGCCCCTCCTGCAGGACGCAAGGGCGCGCTCAGGACCCCACCAGGCAACCTGGCTCACCACTGGCCACACAGCTAGCCAGGGTGGCTGGAACAGCACCCGCACTGAAGCAGATGTGTGTTCCTCCAACACACACACAGACACACGCAGACACACACGCACATCTTAGTTTCCAGGTTCCCTGGATAGAGCACCTACTCCGTGGCAGCAGCCTCGCCTGGCACTCGGGGCAGCACACAGCCAGCCAGCCACCCTCTTTTCCTCGCCTTCCCCTGAGACTGCTTTCTCTAGACCGCAGCTTCCCAGGCAGCTGGGATTTCTCATAGCGCACAAGGGGGCGAGGGGCTAGGAATTCAGTGTGGTAAAGAAACTGCGGAGTCCAGGGGCCCCAGGCAACTCCCCCTCCCTGCCCTGGAGGGAGGGGGCTTACAGAACGAGCAGTGGTCTTTGTTCAGATCCGTTTTCCTCCCCCAGCCTCCCACCCTCTTCACCGGAGGAAGCAAACTTTGGCCTCCCTCCCTCCCCTTCCCACCAGCCACGGAGTCCCCTGCCCCTAGAGGTGGGGAGGGAAAGGCCGGGAACTGCTGCTCACACCCGGCACGCCCGCCCACCCATCTGGCTCGGCTGGGGGAGCGTCTGGGAGGGAGGCAGGGCCAAGGGTGGGGAAAAACTTGAAAAGTGTTCCAGGGAGCGGAGCCGCTGGGAAGGGGCTCGAGGAGCGGGGCCGCGGCCAGGCAGGTGGGGGGTGGCTGCCCGCGCTCCCTCGCAGATGTCCAAGCAGGAGCCGCTGGAGAAACCCATGCCCTCCACCGCCAGCGACTCGGGGAGCCGACCGGGGAAGGTGCAACTGGCAGGAATTTTCTGTCCCCGCCCTCCTCTCTTCCAGATCAAGAGTTGGATATTTTTTCTTAAGTTGCCGCAATTTGAACCCATTATTTTGAGGGAAACGAGTGCTGTCATGGTGTGAGAGAGAGCGAGGGTGTGTGTGTGTGCGTGCGTGTGCGCGGGGACGGTCTGGCTGTGTCGCGTCCCCTTCCCGATCCCCCCGCGGAGCCAGCCCTCCGCGGCTCGGGTCCCTCCGCCGGCGTCCCCGCTGCCCGGCCCGCCCGGCTCGCCAGCGCCGGGCCCGACTCTTCCCGCGGCGCGCTCTCCCCGCAAGCCTCCCGCCGGCGCCCCGCTCGCCCCCCGCGTCCCCGGCTCCTCGCCAGCGCCCGAGCGCGCGGCCCCGCGCCGCCCCCCAGGCTCGCCGCCCGCAGGTACTCACCTAAAAAGAAGAAGAGGCAGAAGGCGTTTGCCAAGATCATGTTAAATAAATCCCACAGTTTTTTTGTCTTCCTCCCTTGGGTAAAAAATAATAATAACAAGAAAAATAATAACAGCCAAGCAGGGATATTCAGCCCCAAATCCAATGCGGAGATCCCAGCTAGTCCACCCGGTGAAGATCCTGAGTCCTGCGACTCTCGCCTCTGGCTGGAGGGGTGGGGTAGAAGGAGGGCGGTGGGCTGCCTCTCGCCGCCCCCGGTCCACGTAGCTGTGTGTATCTGCTTCTAAGCAGCCCGGTCCCGAGCTCAGCCCTCCCCTCCGCGCGTCCGGGAAGGCGCAAGTCCCCGCGGGTCCCACTCCCCTGCGCTTCCCAGGAGGGGCCTGGGGAGGTTGGGGACAGAGGCGACTTGCGAGTGAAGGGCTGGAAGGAAGCGGCGAGAGAGGGGTGAGAATAAACGCAAATAGGAAAGAAATCCACCGACGGGGGTTTGCGCCGAGGAACAATCCAGCCGGAGCTTCGAGGATGACAGACCAGAGTGGCTTCTTTCGCACCAAGACGAAGACAAGATTCAAAAAAATCTTCTCCCGCTAACCCTTGCTCGGCTCACTTTTTCTAATGGAATTCCAGTGACCGTGTGTCTCTGCGTGCGTGTGTCTTTCTCCCTCGCTCCCTCCCGCTCCTCTCCCTGCTCGCTCTCTGCTCTCGCTCTCTCCAGCTCTCTCCCTCGCTCTCCCCTCCCTCCCCTTCTCCCTCTCTCCCTGCTCCTCCCTCCGCCCGCCCCTTCCCCCTTAGCAGCTCCCTCGCCTCGGCTCTCGCGCCCGCGCCCCTCTCCTCCGCCCGGGGCTCAGCGCTCGGGCTCCTGGGCCGCTGGCGGCGCGCGCGGCGGAGCAGCGACACTCTGCAGCGGCGGCGGCGGCGACTTGGC